GAACTTTTTTGGTTTCTGGAGGCTACATATTCTACCCCATGGAATACAGGTTTGGCCCACCAGGTGACATGAATATCTGTCCATTGTAAGTGGGACTCAGGGTAGAAAAGGGCTCTGCAGCAGGTCCAGGTTGCAGTGCAAACAGCCCTGACCCTTGGGCCAGTGCGGATACAGACGACTGAAACAATGCTATCAACCAACTGGACAAGGTTGATGCTTACAGAACACGCCACCAAACCACAGCAGATTCCACGGTCTTTTCAAAACATTTGTTAATGATACATTGTATTTGTGACCACAGGATATTTCAATAAAATTAAGCTGATTAAATCATACAAAATATATTATTCACAACTAAGGGAATTGTATTAGAAATCAGAAACAGAAAGTTATAAGAATGGGGTTGGTGGGAGATGGAGGAGGAATTTAAAAATACCTGGTGGGCAGAAGCTACACTATTCAGGTGATGGGTAACTAAACCTCAAAGTTCACTACTGTATAACTCATCACTGTAACTAAAAAACCCTCATACCCATAAAGCCACTGAAAATGCTGAAATTAATTTTTTTTTAATTGTCAATTAAAACCCAAGTATTTTGAAACTAAAGTACTACGAAATGTAATGAGGCAAAGAAACAACAAAAATGTAAATTATAAAGTATTTTGGTCTGAAAGTAAACATCACATATCCAAATTTATGGGATGCAAAAAAGCAGTTAATTTATAGCAATATGAATGCATTTCAGCAAAGAAGTTTTCACATTAATCACTGGAAATGTAATCTTCACAAACTAGAAAAATAAGAAAAATGATACTCAAAAGAAGGGCCTTTTATTCTTAGAAATGTGAGGATGTGACAAGCACACATCTCGTATTCCACCATTAGAATTATATCAGTCTCCAAATGAAAACACCTTTAGCAGCTTCACAAGAAGAAAGTCTTAGAGTGGACGGGCAGAGTGAGTAACTGCTCAGGGAGAGTGAGGAGTCAGGGAAAGTCAAAACAGGTTTCCTTTGTGATATTATTATGAGCTGCACACACATACGACTCCGGTGAGCTCTGACGTGCTCATAAACCAAACGTCATTCAGCGCAGGCGGCTTTCCATCCTCCTGATGGTTGGTTAGAATGGTGTCACTTGACAAAGGCATGTAGAAGCGTCATGAAGGTCATCAGTGGCAGCAGGTGAGGAAAGGACACACTAGGGTCCCCTCACAGTGACATGACTGAGCATCCCTGCAGCCATGAGGACAGCAGGGAAATTTAGTGGCTGCTCCGGGGAGGATGTGGCAGCCAACACTGGAGGGTCTGTGATGCTTGAGTGCCCTAAGTGTGGAGGAAGGAGGAGACTCTGGAAAGCATCCTGGAGGACCCTGGCCCTGTTCACACAGAGAACGAATCTGTGCCTGTGACTGTGGCCTCACGGCCTCTTCCTTCCTCAAAGGCTTTGCACTCATCTCCCTGAGCCCACCTAACTCCAACTGCTGGAGACGCATCCCCTGGCACCACAGCTGCTCCTGCCACAGTGAGAGGCTGAACTTCCTTTGAGGTATGTATTTGAGGCCATCACACTGTGTAGGTTCTGGTGTCCTGCTCACAGGAGACTGTGTAGCATCTCCAGGCTCCAAAGTGGTATTTGCGGTGGTAAAATCCCTAGAATTTTAGCTAGATATGTTTTCTCACTTGTGAATACCTTCTGTAGACCTGCCATTTATTATTTTACAAACTCTTTTCTGTAAACTTTCTATTCTTTTTTGTTGGAATTTTGGGTTAAGAATGTAATTTTAATTGTACTATCTTTAGTCTCCACACTGCTGATTGTGGGAGTGAAATCAACAATTTTTGTTGGATGTGTGTTCTCACTTGTGAATATGTGTACAAAAGTACTCTGAAGACATGTCTTCCTTTGTATGGGTGACAAATTCTTTCCTGTATACCATGTTTTCATTATTTATTTATTTTTGATATTTCTGCTTGGGGATACAATTTTACTTCACTCACCATGGACTCCATCATCGTACAATAGACAATGATTTCTGGTGGGGTTTATTATTTTAACCAGCAAAAAGATAATTTGTCCTTTTGGTACAAATAATTCATTACGTTGATCATGTACCTCATGAAATTGAACTGATATGCCCACGATTAGTTAACAAGTATTTTTGAGGAATTATTTTAAGTGACACCATGCAAAGCATGCTTTTTTCATCCCATCACTTATTAGAATATGAGAGTCAGATTTATTTTCAGGTAATGACTATATCATGTAAAAATTATACATTTACTTATTTCAAAACATTTTATTACTTTTTTATAATAATTTAATACCTAGACAATCATTTGTAAATGACTAGTAAGTTTCAAAAGGAATCCTCTTATTCTCGGACTATGATATAGGGGTTGAAAGGCTAAAAGAACCATTGCAAGAGCCTGAAGAGAAAACAGTACAAAAGTTTATATTAATAACACCAGAGAACAGTGGAAGAAATGAGAACTAAGTGACCTAAAATTCCAAAGTGGATAGAACCCCTTCTAGTTGAGCTGATCCTCGCCTGGCATTTTGTCCTCCTGCCATATCTGCCAAGTTTGCATGTGAACACAAGCTCTGTCTTGGCACAGGCAGAGGAGATCTCCTGGGAAAAATGAATTGGATTGGCACTGAGGTGTTGCTCAGGGCAGCCTCTATACATGGCCTGTGTCCTGCATGTGGCATTTGCTGAGGTCTGAGTCATCAGGCAGGCTGGAGGTGATGAGCTAGAAGAGCATAAATCTCCCACAGACTCAGCCTATTCTTCCAAATCCCCAAAACTGCACAGAGCATCCAAAAAACATGTCTGAATCATGGACATCGGTCTGCATCAGCACTGCCCCCATGATGGTATAGGCCCTGCTGGACCTTCTGCTCAGCATGTCGGTGATTGTGACATCTCCAGACCCAACCAGTGGTCTCTGCTAGACCTCCTCTAGGGGCAGAATAAGTTTCAGAAGCTCTGCTTGGCTGTTGCAATTTAACCAGGACTGAGTGACATGGCTTCAGGTCTCCTCGTGCGGGGATTCCTCTAAACCTTCGGTGATCACAGACCTAAATACTTACTCACAGCATTACTTTCCTGTGAGACTCCCAGTGTCACAGGCTCCACCCAGAAAGGCCAGGAAGCAGTCTCTTCAACTCTGTGGTTCTTCACAAAAACATATTTGGCCCCTTTTTGGATCTATATCATCAACCGCCAAGGCCACCATCAGCCACATCCCCATACACCATAAGTCAAGGGCTGTGTAATTGAACAAGAGCTGACCTCTCCTGTGTTCTCTTCATGCTCCCATTCCTGCAGTCTGCCCAATCTCAAATTCTATTCTTTAGAAAATAAAAAAAAGTTTACATCATCCTGTATTTTCTCAGTGATCCATGGAAAATACCACATTTTTAGTATACTGCATCTTCCAGTATACACATATTATTTTTAAAACCAACTTTCAAAATTTCAGAAATTCCTTTTTCAATCCACAGGAGGTAATTGTAATCAAAGAGTTTTAGTATTAGGATCTTGTGTCTGCTATGAAATTACAAAATCTATTTGACACTCACAACCAGGATGTTGCTGGTTGTCCTCAGCCAGCTCCCTCTGAGGAGAACTAGTGGAAAGTCCTGTCTCTACTGTCTCAGGGAGTGCAGACAAATGGTAAATAGAAGAAGCAGGAATTTAAAAAGTGGGAAAATGCCAATTTCACATATAAACAAATATTTCCTCTAACATGTATACAAAACTGTTAAACCGTAAGATGTACTCTACATGTTTTGTAAGAAATGATCAGTTATCTGGCTGTTTTGCTCAATAAATTTAAATAAATGTAGGCAAGGAAGGAGGATTAAGATGAGCTTCCATTCTTCTTTCCGTTTTGCCCCAAATTTTTACTCACAGGGCCCTGCTCTCCTGTTGCTTGTGAGAGTCAAGGCTGTGGCAGGTGACAGGAACATAAACAGGGGTGCTGACCTGGTGCAATGGCTCACACCTATACTCCCAGCACGTTGGGAGGCTAAGTCAAGTGGGTGGCTGAAGTCCATGAGTTTGAGAACAGGCTGGGCAACATGGCGAAGCACTGGCTCTACATAAAATACAAAGATTAGCCATGCTTAGTGGCATGCACCTGTCGTCCCAGAGTCCTCAGCAGCAAACTCTGCCCTGAATTCTCCAACAACTTCCTCTTCTGCAGACTCAGAGACCCTGCTGAGCTGCTCCCCAGACAAGCAGCACATGTGAGCATCTGGGACACCCAGCAGGGAGGTTTCTGTTCGGGGTTGTACCACTGTGGGAGGAAGCTCTATACCTTGCACGCAGTAATAAACCCCAACATCCTCAGCCTCCACCCGGCTGATTTTCAGTGTGAAATCAGTGTCTGACCCACTGCCACTGAACCTGTCTGGAACTCCAGAGGCCCGGTTGGAAACCAAATAGATCAGGAGCTGTGGAGACCGGCCTGGCTTCTGCAGGTACCAATCCAAATAGGTGCTTTCATCTTCACTATCAAAGAGGCTCTGACTAGACCTGCAGGAGATGGAGGCCGGCTCTCCAGGAGTGACAGACAGGGAGAGTGGGGTCTGGGTCATCACAATACCCTCACTGGATCCTGAAATAATAACAGAGAAGTGCAAGGTTATATAGACACATTATGAGCAACTTTCATGATATCAATTAAGATATTGATTTACAGTTACATATATTTTCAAGTTGTAATTTATATCATGAAAAGTATAATTTCTCAAACCCATCATTTACTAGCCAGCAGGAAACGCATTATTTTCAAAATCTGAATCAGAGCACTGGTCATTGTTCCTGGAAGGGGATTCCTGATTATTCATAAAACAAAAATATGAATTATCTTTCCTGAAACATAGACTATGTGCCTATAACACATGGTTGAAATAAATATAGGAAGCTGTGGAGCCCCCAGAGCTCACCTTCCCACCTCATTTTCCCACCGCATTTTAATCCTCTCCTTACCAGGGACCCAGAGCATTAGCAGCCCCAGGAGCTGAGCAGGGAGCCTCATTGTGAGAAGGTGAGCTGAGGAGTCCTGATCAGTCAAGGCAAGGTTAGAGCTGAGCTTTTATCCCACAGTCACAAGGGAAGGTCCTCCCTAGGGGACAATATGCAAATCACCTGGTGGGTGCAGCGGGGTGGAAAGGGTCAGTGGTGTAGGAGCAATGGCTCTTCTGGGAACACTGTGACGTAAAATGTTCATTGGAACAAAACAAACATAGTTCAAGTCCAGTTTGCCTGTGGTCAAGGGAAGAAGGCTCTGACTGTGAAAGTTGGGACCCTGGGCAGGGACACATTGTGTAGTGCATGTCACACTGAGAAAGCACAAGGACCCTGACAATGAAGAAATGTGTTTCTAGGATGCATCTCTGGGAGGTGAATGCCATCCTGCATGGCTCACTCACAGTCAATCTAGAGAAGAAAACAGCCCCATCCCACAACCACTGACGGGCAGAGGGTCTGCAAATACAAAGAGCTCCTGAGCCAGCTGCAGGGTTGCCTGGTATCTGCTGTTTCCAGGATAACCGTTCAAGATTGTGCAATGCAAGTGTTAGAACCTCCCCTACCTTGGCACCTGGTGAGTGAACCCCGTAAGAGCACTCTATCCAAGGACCTCACAGGGAGAATGATGTGAGTCTCTACATTTAGAGCCAAGAGTCCAGCGTAAAGAAGAGGAAAGGGGGCAAGAATGTTATGTCTCAGCCAGTGAATATAAAATTCCTGGTGACAAACTGCTCAATCTGGGATATATCCCATCATAATCGCCTCACATATACAAGATTCACCAGCAGGCTCTTCTAAAGAAGAATTTCCTCTGGTAATGACACAGAACAAATAAAAAATAATATTACACAATGTTTTTCCAAGTGATGCCTAGGAAAACTCTTTTCACAAAGTCTCCCTGGTCATGTTGAATCAAGTTCTATCAGGGCTTCCAGGTTCTTGCCAACTCTGAGTGAAACCTGAGTCACCCCCAGCCTGGATGTGGTGCAGCCACAGCAGTGAGTCTGCAGTTCAGAAGAAAATGCTCTATGTGAGAGGAGCAAGGACTGAAATTACAGTTTTATGTCTCAGGGTAACCTGTACCTGAAACTGACATTTTGATTGCTTCATGTAAAGATGCTCACAGCTCAGGGATGTAAGTCGGCCCCACAGCTGATCTTTACAAAGGGAAACAATCTCATTTTTCTTCATTTGTTAGTGATGTGCTTAATATTTAATTGAACAGCTCCTCAATAATGGTGCTGACGCCAAATACCATCACAAGAACAGTCACATCTCTGGAAAAAAAATCCATGAACAATTGAAAGACTACCTTGTACTGCTATGTAAACTTTGGTAATTTACCAAAAGTTCATTTTTAATTGTCCAAGAGCACAAACAAATGAAATTCTAGGTAAGATTCCAGAGAAAGCTTGGTTTAAATCTCTTCTGGGAAATCTGCCAGAATGACACTTTTTACAAGATTTGAAAACATCATTGAATAACAATGATATTGACTTTTAAATATTGAGCTCCATTGCAATAATGTAGGTTAAGGAGATTAAATTGTACTTGAGAAGTTGGATTAGAATAAAGGCTCATATTTTACTATTTCAATTTTATTTTCTCTTTTCTCAATAAATGTAGTAACTTTAGTATACCTGACTTTTTCTTTTCTTATGTTATTAACCAATTCTAATTCAAAAAGTCAGACTACTAATTAATCATGATAATAAAATAAGAAAATTCAGAGGCTGAGGGAAAAAAAGAAAACGCAAACTATAATAAGCCTAACTTAAATAGAACAAGATGGTCCATCTTATTGCAAGTTTTAAATAATTATTCTGAAAGGGTGTTAAATGAAGAATCAGTTCTGTCCATTATCTGATACGGAAACTTGAATAGTAGGAAAATGAATAACCGTAAAAAAATTTGCCAGGTTTTCTTTTACTAAAAATCGATTCTTGAAAATGTTATTTTTCCAAAGTGTTCTTTAAGATGCTTTAATTTAAGATAGAGTTGCTATTTTCTATGAGACTTAATAAATTTTTAAGAAGGCTGCCACTGTGATTAAAGAAATAATAATCTCATGTTCTGTTACCTTATATAACCATAAAATGTGAAATCTTGTAAAGATCTGTTTTAGTCAGAAAGGAGCTTTGAAGTTACTCTGTATTACCTATGGACTTAAAGAATAATATTTCTAATCGTAATGAGAAACCTCCCTCTCTTATCTGTTGACGCATTATGCCAAGGCTTTGACAACAGCAGACAAAGCTGGTCACTCTACAGCGGACACAGATCGGAAGGCGTCAGAACCAGCTCCTTTAGGATCTAGGTGTGCAGCAGGCCTCTGTGTGTCTTTAACATGAACCATGGTCACCTGAATGAGGGAGGACATATACGGGTGGGATTTATTATGGCTGTTTCTCCTTTTCCTGATGAGGTTAGTTTGGGGTTCATAAAATTGGGAGCAAATGCATTATTCATACATCCTAGGAAAAGAGTCTTAGAAGTGGAATTGTTTGAGTTCATGACCCTGAGTAAGTGTTTGGGGTGGTCACTGTGATCCTATTTGTTGGGGATTTGAAGAATTTGAGGGCAGAGCAAGGAAAAAGTTGACCACAGGGGGGCAGTCGCACACATAACTTTATTGGGTGACGCTTTGACAGGTTTGCAGAGAGAAGTCCCTCACAGCAGGAATCTGTGCAGAGAATAAGGTGACAGGGTTGCTTCTCAAAACGGGAGAGACACTGGAGAAGGGCCTATGTGTCTGAGAGATGCCACACAGCAGCGGAGTGGGAAGTTTCTGCTTAAGGTTTTCCTAACTGGGGTTTATCTTATTGCTGGCAGATATTGGTGAAATTTTCTGGACAAGCAAAGTAATTTCTAAAAGGTTAAAAATATTTTGAGGGGGCTGTTTTTAAAATATTTGTATTGGTATATTTGAGTTTGGAACAGACCATTGAGAAATAAACCCAGTTTTTATTAAACAACATAGGAGCCAGGACACACAAGCCATCTTTGGCTCATCTATACATCAGTTTCCAATCCCGTAGACTTTGTTCTACAGACTGCATCAGTTCAAATTGTCCAAACCAACACTACTATGGATGAGAATGGGAAATACAGAGGCCTGTTTCCCATCTAAGGCACAGTGAATATTCTTTTTGATTAAAGGGAAGAGTTTCTCTTTAAATGAGAATTAAGATCAAGCCACCCATGGAGCACCCCTTTGTGAAGACGCTGGTCCTGTACCTGATTCCTGGCTGCAAGAAACTTGGGGATGAAGCTATCTGCATTATCTCACTAACTGTAAATTGTCACTCACTGGAGCAGAAATTCACAGGTAAATATTCTGAAACACAGAGAGCTCAGAGAAGGAAGCTCCGTGAATATGTCTCTTCTGCTTCTGAGAATCCATCTCTCCAGCATTGGAGGAAACAGGGTTGTTTGTAAGTTGCACCTTCAGGCCCTGTTCTAGACCTGTCTAAGCTGAACCTGTTACCAAATGTTTCAATTACTGTTCTTTATTCTTTCTTGGAAAAAAATGTTTTGGTGAGCTTTTCCTCTGTGCTTGTTAATCTTTCTGCGGATCCCAAGCCACCCACCAACAAACTGCTCAAAGTAAGGCAATGGTTCTGTTTCCTTGCTGAGTATTCTGTGTCTTTAGAGTTCCCTCTCAGTTCTCACCCCTTTAATAAAGGGTATTCTGTCCTCAAAAGTAGGTCTCCATAATACCACAGCATGCTTAGGAGGTTAGTAACTTTTTTTGCTGTTTGAATGTGATGTTGGCCTTGTTGACCACATGATAAACCCTGGTTTACTTGAGAGATGGGAAGTTGGCAGACCCAAAAAGTTTCTAGAGTCTGAATTAGAGAATTTAGCCTTTTAAACAGTAGTGGAAGCTGCAGTTGATATGAGAATTTGTGTGAATATCATAAGATAACAAAGTAAAGCAACTTTTTTCTTTTAACTAGGTAAGATAATTCACCTGAAGAAAAATTGAGAATACAATTTGAGAGTTCTCATACTCATAGCTTTTTTTCATATTAAATAATTATAAAATCCATAAAATAGGGCCAGGCGTGGTGGCTCATGCCTGTAATCCAAGCACTTTGGAGGCCAAAGTGGGGGGATCACCTAAGGTCGGGAGTTCAAGACCAGCCTGACCAACATGGTGAAACCCTGTCTTAAAAAAAAAAAATCCATAAAATACTTATATTAATTATTATTAAAGAAACTTTAAGACTCTCAGGAAAAGTCAGGGGTTAAACTAACTCACCTAAACTGATTCCTAAAATCAATTGAAGTTATATTTTTGCTTCTTCCTTTTATCTCCTGCTAGTAAAAATCAAAAGTTCAGAATAAGAAACAGGTAAGAGCTGAATAAATTATTTAATGTTAATTCCTTATTTGATAATAATAATTGATAATAATAACACAGTCTCTGCACTGACAGCTGGAAATAGTGACCCTATGCCTTCCTGGAAGCAGCAGCTTCACATCACAGCAGTGAACTTCATTATTACTTGGTTGCTCTTGGGCTGGAGCTAAGGATCACCCAAGTGTAAATGCCCCGTGAAGAACCAACTGCCCTTGCTTTTTGTACTCTAGAAGTTGGCTCTTATAAAATGCCTCCAAGGAAGAAGAGAATGAAGAATCAGTAATAAAACAAAATTTTGAAAGATAAATTCTGACCGCCCAAAAGCAGTCAGGAATGAAACTATCAAGGTTAACAAAGTCATAATCTCTTGCTAGACACTCACTTAACTGTATCTTACCCATATTTAATATTCTTACCTTAGTACATTACAAATATCCTCAACCTACAAAATGGTTTCTTTTGTATTCTAGAATCCTAACAGCCAAAAAAATTTTAAAATCAAATATGAGAATGTATATTAACCTGTTACCCCAGGAAAACTAATTATACAAACATTAACAATGTAAGGCAGAATAAAAGGGAGAAGCCTATTCATTCTGTGGAAAATTGAAGGAAATATTTAGTTCATCATAATAATTGTGAATATACCATTAAGCAAAACCAATATCTTTGGTTTCTGGCTTGATGCTAAGGCATGAAATTTCAGTAAGTCTGTCTAGGGTTCAAACAAAACTCATAGTATTTCTCATAACAGTTTATTTTACTCCAGGAATTGTAAAGGAAAAGTAAAATAATGAGAAATCTATTATGAGATTTACCCTCATGTTAACATTTGCAGAGAGACTGAGAGAAAGGCACCATTTGCATAACCCTATTCGTAGTGTTAAAATCTTTAATTTGCTGGGCAAATCTAAAAAAACCCTTTTAACTAGTACTTGCAAAAAGATAATTATATCTGTGAAGAATTTGACTTGAGTGCCCTAGTAAGTGGCTGACAGAAAGACCAGATGGAAATTAGTGCAATAGAATCAAGGACATCATGATGCCAAATTTTAGTCTCTCCTCATTAGCGAGCAAATGCAGATACTACACCAAGACAAGGAAAATAATCAGAAACTTACTTGGGGACTCTTTGCGGCTGCCTTGTCATATCATGGCTGTGGCTGGGAGGCTGATTTCCCACAGCTGGTATTGCACTGCGCCTCGTATCTGGGCATTCGTCTCCACAGCTGCCATAGAACAGCACTAAATATGTGCCCATTAGCAAGGCCACTGTAATGTGTGTTATATCAACACAGAGAGAATCAGAGTTCATGATGACAGGAAGAACTATTTCATTCCAGTGTGTTTAATGTGTTCATTTGTCTTTTAAAAAAAGAAGCCACAAGTAGGCCTTTTTTGGTTTCTAGAAGCTACATATTCTGTCCCTTAGAATACAGGTTTGGCCCAACAGGTGGCATGAAAGTCTTCCAGTCGTGAGTGTGGCCCAGGGTAGAAAAGGGCTCTGTAGCAGGTCCAGGTTGCCGTGCAAATAGCTCTGCCCCTTGCCCCAGTGCAGGTACAGACAACTTGAGCAACACTGTCAACCATCTGGACAAGACTGATACTTAGAGAACACTCCACCAAACCATAGCAAATGATTTTCAAAACATTTGCTGACATACATAATATTTTGGGCCACAAGATACTTCAGTGAAATTAAACAGGCATAAATCACACAAAATAAATTCTTGATGACCGAAAGAATTGTATTAAGGGCAACAGAGAGTGATCTGAAGGGAAGATGGTGCACAGAGAGGAAGAATGATAATTTTCCTACTGGATACGATGTACGCTTTTTGGTTGATGGGTAACTAAAAGCCCAGACTTCACTACTATACAATTCACCAGTAGAACCTAGAACCTCTTGTTCCCCTAAAGCTGGGGAAATGTAAAAATTAGTTTAAAAAAGACATTTGTCAAAAAAAGATGCACATATTTTAAAACTAAGTAAAATATTACTAAATATAATTTGGAATAAAGAAAAACAAAAGTAGAAGTTAAAAATAAACACGGTGTATCCACATTTGTGGAATGCAAAAACAGTTCATTTCTAGCAATATTTGTGCACTTTAGCAAGAAAGTTTTAAAATCAATCACCTGAACCACAACCCTGACTAGTTTAAAAGAGCAAATTACACTCAAAAGAAGGATCTTTTACTAATAGAAATGTGAGCATGTGGCAAGCACACAGCTGGAATTCTACCATCAGAATCATATGAGTCTTAAAATAAAAGCATCTTCAGGGATGGGTTCAGTGGCTCACACCTGTAATCTCAGTAATTTTGTAGACCAATTTGGACAGGCAGATCGCATGAGGTCAGGCGTTTGAGACCTGCCTTGCCAACAGGGTGAAACCCCATCTCTACTAAAAATAAAAAAATTACCCGGGCATGGTGGTGGGTGCCTGTAATCCCAGCCACTTAGGAGACTGAGGCAGGAGAGTTGCTTGAACCCAGGAGGCAGAGGTTGGAGTGAACCAAGATGGCATGACTGCACTCCAGCCTGGGTGAGAGAGAAGGAGTCTCCCTGACTCAAAAAGAAAAAATAATAATAATAAAAATCTTTAGAAGCTTCATACAAGGAACATCTTAGAGTGGATGGTCAGTGAGTAACCGCTCTTAACAAGAGGAACATCTTAAAGTCAATGGTGAGAGTAAGTAACTGCTCAGAGAGAACCGGGAGACAGGGAAAGTCAAAATAGGATTCCTACATGATATTATTATGAGCTGCACATACATGACATTCCCGTGAGCTCTGACTTGCTCATTAGCCAAAATTCATGCAGTGCAGGCCACTTTCTATCCCCCTGATGGTTGGCGAGAGTGGGGTCACTTGGCAAAAGCAAAAAGAAGTTCCCTGAAGGTCATCAGTGGCAGCAGGTGAGGACAGGACACACTAGAATCTCCTCTCAGTGACGTGACTGAGCATCCCTGTAGCCCTGAGGACGGCAGGAAACTTTACTGACTGCTCCTGGGACTACATGGCAGCCAAGGCTTGAGGGTTTGTGGGGCTAGAGCACCGCAACTAGTTAGAAAGGAAGAGGCTCTGGAAGGTGCCCTGGACAGCCCTGGCCCGTTTTCACATAGAAAAGGAGCATGTACCTGTGACTGAAGCCACATGGCCTCTTCCTCAAAGACTCTCCAGCCATCTGCCTGAACCCACCTGAACTCACCCGCTGTGTACACATCTCCTGGTACCACAGCCTGTCCTGCCACACTGAGAGGCTGTTTCTTTGGGAGCTTTGTATTTGGGGCTATCACACTGTTCAGAGTCCCAAAAACTGGCCTGCTCACAGAAGGATATGCAGAATTTCCAGGCTACAAAGTGGTGTCTGTGATGGTGAAATCCCTAGAATTCTGGTGAGATGTGTGCCCTCACTTGTGAATACCTTATATAAACGTGTCATTCTTTGTTTTACAAACTCTTTTCTATAAACCATCTTTTCTTTGCTTTTGTACTTTTTGGTTAAGAATGCAATTTTAATTATACTACCTATAGTCTCCGCCTGGTGATTGTGAGAGTGAAATAAATAGATTTTGAGTTGAATGTGTGTTTCTACTTGTGAATGGAGATGTACTCTAAAGACCTGTCATTTTCTGTATGTGTGATAAATTCCTTCCTATATTACACGCTTTCTTTTTATTTTTTTGACATTTCTGCTTGGAAATATAATTTTAACTTCACTCATCATAGGATCCATCATCTTAGATTAGAAAATCATTTCTGATGTGATTCATTTTTTTAACCAGAAAGAAGACATTTTGTCCTTTTAATACAAACATTTATTTAATCATGCCCTTGATTAATTCATAAATATTTTTGGAGCATTATTTTAAGTGAATACATGCAAATCATAGATTTTTCTTTACACCTACTACTAGAATATGGAAATCAAATTTGTTTTTGGGTAATGACCACATCGTGTCAAAATAATACATTTTCTTATTTCAAACTTTCTATTGTTTTTTATGACAACTGCATAATAAAATTTTCATTTATCAAAACCTGCTGGCTTACATCCTGCTGGGCCTTCTGCTCAGCATGTCAGTGCTTGTGAGGTCTCCAGACACAACCAGTGATCTCTGCTAAACTCCTCTAGGGGCAGAATGAGTTTCAGAAGCTCTGCTTGGCTGTTGTGATTTAACTAGAATTGAGTGGCATGACCTCAGCTCTGCTTGTACAGGGACTTCTTTAAACCTTCGGTGATCACAGACCTAAATACTTGCTCACGAGATTACTTTTCTGTGAGACTCCCAGTGGCACAGGCTCCACCCAGGAAGCCAGGCAGCAGTGCCTTCAACTCTGTGGTTCTTCACAAGTAACATATTTCACTCCTTTTAATCTACATCATCAACTGCCATGCCCACCACCAGCCACATTCCCACCCACCATAAGCCAAGGGAAATTTAATTGAACAAGAGCTGACCCCTCCTATGTTCTCTTCATTCTCCCATTCCTGCAGTCTGCCTAATCCCAAATTCTGAGCTTTAGAAAATAAAAAAGTTTACACCATCCTGTATTTTCTCAGTGATCCATGGAAAATACCACATTTTTAGTATACTACATCTTCCAGTATATGCATATTATTTTTAAAACCAACTTTCAAAATTTCAAGAACTCCTTTTTTAATCCACAAGAGGTAATTGTAATCAAAGAGTTTTAGTATTAGGATCTTGTGTCTGCTATGAAATTACAAAATCTATATGGCACTCACAACCAAGATGTTACTGGTTGTCCTCAGCAAGCTCCCCCTGAGGAGAACTAGTGGAAAGTCCTGTCTCTACTGTCTCAGGGAGTGGAGAAGAATGGCAAATGGAAGAAGCAGGAATTTAAAAAGTGGGAAAATGCCAATTTCACATATAACCAAATATTTCCTTTAACATGTATACAAAACTGTTAAACTGTAAGATGTACTCTACATGTTTTGTAAGAAATGATCAGTTATCTGGCTGTTTTGCTCAATAAATTTAAATAAATGTAGACAAGGAAGGGGGATTAAGATGAGCTTCTGTTCTTCTTTCCATTTTGTCCCAAATATTTTACTCACAGGGCCCTAGAACCTCCTCATTCTCCTGTTGCTTATGAGAGGCAGGGCTGTGGCAGGTGACAGGAACATAAACAGGAGTGCTGACCTGGTGCAATGGCTCACACCTATACTCCCAGTACGTTGGGAGGCTAAGTCAAGTGGGTGGCTGGAGCCCATGAGTTTGAGAACAGGCTGGGCAACATGGTGAAGCACCGGCTCTACATAAAATACAAAGATTAGCCATGCTTATTGGCATGCACCTGTCGTCCCAGACAGAGTCCTCAACAGCAAACTCTGCCCTGAATTCTCCAACAACTTCCTCTTCTGCAGACTCAGAGACCCTGCTGAGCTGCTCCCCAGACAAGCAGCACATGTGAGCAGCTGGGACACCCAGCAGGGATGTTTCTGTTCGGGGTTGTACCACTGTGGGAGGAAGCTTTGTACCTTGCATACAGTAATAAACACCAACATCCTCAGCCTCCACCCGGCTGATTTTCAGTGTGAAATCTGTCCCAGACCCACTGCCACTGAACCTGTCTGGGACCCCAGAGGCCCTGTTGGAAACTTTATAGATTAGAAGCTGTGGAGACCGGCCTGGCTTCTGCAGGTACCAATCCAGATAGGTGTTTCCATTACTATCCAGGAGGCTCTGACTAGACCTGCAGGAGATGGAGGCCGACTCTCCTAGGGTGACGGGCAGGGAGAGTGGAGCCTGGGTCATCACAACATCCCCACTGGATCCTGAAATAATCACAGAGAAGTACATGGTTATATAGATACATTTTCAGCAACTTTCATTATTTCCTTTAAGATATTGATTTGCAGTTACATATTTTTTCAAGTTTTTATTTATATCGTAAAATGTAGACCTTCTAAAATTAATGCACTATTTAGTAGCCAGTAGGGAACTCTTTATTTTTAAGCTTGGAATCAGAGCACTGGTCATTGTTCCCTGGAGGTGAATCCTGATTATTCATAAGGACAAAAATATGAATTCTCTTACCTGCTGACCATGTGCCTCTAACACACGCTGGAAATAAACATGGGAAGCTGTGGAGCCCCCAGATCCCACCCTCCCATCCCATTTTCCCACCTTATTTTAATTCTGTCCTTACCAGAGAGCCAGAGCATTAGCAGCCCCAGGAGCTGAGCAGGGAGCTTCATTGTGAGAAGGAGAACTGAGAAGTCCTTATCAGTCAAGACAGGGTTAGAGCTGAGCTTTTATCTCAGACTCACAGGGAAGGTCCTCCCTGGGGGACAATATGCAAATTACCTGGTGGGAGCAGTGGTGTGGAAAGAGCCAAGGGGAGGGTGGAGGGGCCTCTCTTGTGAGAAAAGTAACTTAAATGTCTTCTCTGTTTGGGGAGAAACCAACAGAGATTAAATCTATGCTGCATGAGTAGGACAAATGTGCCTGTTTCCTTTTGTCTTTTCTCCTAGATTTCCTGATTTTTTTAGCACGGCCCAGGTGCATTTTTGACTTCTCCTCAATATGGCTGAGATTCCATAAGTAGTTGATAATTCTTCTTTCTTTGTTCATATTTATTTGAGTCCAGAATGAGTTGTTCGATTTTTTTCATGAGGTAATACACATACCAAGTAAAGGGCTGAAATGTTAAATATGCAACTAAGTTTTATGTATGTTCTCCATCCTGATGAATCTCTAAAATATTTCAAAGTCTCTTGTACTCCTTCCCAGGCAACAGCTGCTCTCCTATCCCCATAGGTGTAACTGGAGCTCAGACATTCATCACAATAGCTTGGTTTTCCCTCAACTAGAGTTTCATATAGTTGAAGGAAACCCCTTTTTTGCTTTTTTTCCTTGCTTCTTGCTCTTTCCTTTACTATTTGTTAAATCTTCATTTATTTCTGTGGATTCAACTTACTATCTGCTGTCATTTCCTGTGATTCTCAAAACGTTCGTCTTGAATATATTTTAGAAGATATCTGCAAGTAATCATTTCTCTTCATTTTGTTTATAAATAAACATTTTTACTTTACCTTATTTTCACTGGATAATGAATCCTTGGTTGAATCTCCTCCACCCAGCATTTAAATATATAATCTCACTGTATTCTTGCCTCTGTTGGTCATATAAACAGTTAACCAAGGGTTTTATTACTATTTCCTTGGTATAATAAAACAGTTATTTTTCCTAATACTTTTCAGATTTTTCTTTTTGTATGATTCAGCATTTTAACTACAATCTGTATAATGATGCATGTCTTTACATTTATTGTGGCTAAGTTTCATTTTTTTTTATCTTGTTAGACTAATGTGTTTCATTACTCTTGACATATTTGCCAGTATTTCTCAGGTCTGCTAGGTATTCCATCTCCAGAGATACTTTCTCTATGGTTAGTCTCTGCATTTCACTCTACCATGTTGCTGTACATTCTCTGCTTACGTTATCCAGAGCAGCCTCAGGACCAGACTTTAGAGTGTGGGTGCACTTGTAGCGACAGCAGTTCTGGGCCTGGACTCAGAGTCTGATGTGCCACACAGGATGAGATCTGGAGACTGGGCCTGGGATAATAGTTTTGGGGCTGGGAGGCAGTCCAATCCCAGGCAGCCACAACAGTGGCTGCTTCTTGGGAGGATGTGGAGGGAAGGTATCATACCATCTTCCTCTCTGGGGAGATTTACATGCCTATGACTGCAGGGTTTTTTAGTGCCAAAAGCACCAGTGTCCTCTATGGAGCAGGCTGCTGTGATCCTCATCAGTGAACACTAAGGGGCCTTCATTCGGAAAGCTGCAGAGTGGAGGTTGCCTGTGGGGTTACTGAGGTCTTCATCTGCTA